CAAGATTAACCTTCAGGGTGGATATAGCTCGCTCACACTGAGGACCTATCCAGGTCATCATTTACCCAGAATGCTTTGTGTGTAAATAAAACAGCTCTGTCCGTGTTAAAATATATTTTTAAAAATTTACAAACTAAACAGTCTACAGTATTTTTACAGTCTTTATTTTACAGTTAAAATAAATGTTTATCAAATAAAGTAGTGTTACAACTAATCATGGATCCCTTTAAGTTTAGTAGCTCTCTGTTAAGCTTTAGAAAGAAGTTAAAAGGCAAGTTAATGAAGAGTTGTAGTTTATAGTAATAGTTGTGATTGTAGTTACCCCTACATGATTATGATGATGGTAATACTGTATATGGAAATGTGACGTTTGTAATGATTATAGTAATGATAATGTTGATTAAGGCTGGTAATGATGATTTGTATTTATGTGTATGTGATTTGGTATATATAGGGAGGACATGGTGTTGTATATTGAGTGCTGATGTTTTATTTGTTGTTTTTCTTCTTTGTGTTTTGGTGAATCCAGAAGGAACTGTAATGTGAGGCACAATAAGSCATTGGCTCTCGTCTCTTCTTATTTTGGTCATACAAGGTTTCATTTCATTTTTCCTTTTTCAAAAACTGGCCAGACAGAACATAATAACACTACAAACACTCAGAACTCAGAGACAGAAAATTTGTCCATTTTCTTGTAATTTTGAGTTTGCAACAGCCCAGTAAGAAACTGGTTTTAGCTTCTGTAGTATTTTGAATTTACAGCCTTGTGTTTTTTCCACCAATGTCAGGGTTCCCACACCTTGGTCAACATCAAATTCAAGGACCTTTCAAAGACTTTCCAGTACCAATTTCCTCAAATTCAAAAACCACGCACGACGGCAACTACCTACTGCTACTACAGAATGTTACCAATAAACAGGTTTAATATCATGTAAATTCAATGACAACTGAACAACATAGAAGTTGTTGAGTCAGAATCAATAAAGAAAGTGGATTAAATGTACACCCTACATTTATATCCACAATTCATGGACATGTAATTATGTCCTGGGAGGTTTGGCAGCTCCGTTTGGGAGGAGGGGATGTGAACATGTCCAGACGCTCAGTGAGGACAGGAGGAGCTGTGGTGCTCTCACCTGGGCTCAGAAAGAAGGACCCGCCCTCCTCTGCTCTGATTGGGTAAAACTATGACTAAGTCTCAAGTTATTTGTTGAAAGCCACGTCAGTGTACCCTAATCCTGAGTTATCCACCACAACAAATCTAAGTTTTTTATTTTATTTTATTTTTAAAGATGATGAAAACCAGTCGTGTGAATAGAGAACCTCAATCCAAAAAAAACATTCGAGGTCTTTCAAGGACAAGAGTAATTTTTGGCTG